GCAAACAATAAATAGCATTGCATTTTTAATATCACTATTTTTAATATCAGATGTCTACTCTGTAATGCAGAGCAGAATTTGTCTGAATTTCTTTAGGAAGAAACTTCTAAGTAAGTATACATATCTGAAGATCTGTGAAAAAAAAAAAAGAAAGAAAAAAAAAGAAAAAAAAAAGAAAAGAGATCCAGACTTCAGTTATGGAGAAGGCAGAAGGCAACTAGACTCACTTCAGGGTAAAGAATTTAACTCATGTAAGCAAATATTTATTCCATACTTAGAGACACTGAATAAATAGCTACTGTACCTTTGAAATAAATGCAGCTTGGTTCTTACAATCCTGCTTTGTACTGAAGGAACAAATTTTTGATAGGTTATCCAACAGTACTAAGCAAATAAAGTATATTCTCTTAGTATTCTGTGTATCTTCAGTAATTGACAAGGCCAATTTTATTTTATTAGGGATGACTTCCTTTCTTTTTTCCTATATCTTACTTTCATTCTTTATCCTCCATATCTTCTCCTGTCTTTCCCTTCGCAGTTATAAAGCTACAGAAGTTGACAAAGAAAATTGCCTTGTAGCATAATTATTTTGTAGTAAGACACACTCCAGAGATCAGTGACACAGTAGAACTGAACATGAACAATATCTTAATCTTTTTCCTACTGCTATCATTATGGGCAGAATGCCTCTTTACAAGAATGCCATCTTTCTCAGTTACTACTGAGACAGACAAATTAAGGAATATACAAGATGTCCAAAGACCCAATTACTTTTATTCTTGAAAATAGAGATCCACTGGACGTTTTTACATGATTTAGTTTGACTTATAGAAGTATCAATTTTAGTCAGATGAGAAACAACATTAGTTTGAAATGTGTATGCTGAAATTTAGAATGATTGAGTAATATATATATAAAATAAAGATTTGCCTTAGAAAGCTAAAGAGAAGCATAATTCAATCAGTCAGATTATAAGAATAAAAGAAGATATTAATGGAAAATAGAACTACAGCTTTTTGAAGATGTCAAAGAAAAGACAACAGAAGACAGTTCATTAATGAAACTATAGGCCATAAATTAATTCTATTCTGGTGAAAGGCTCTCATGTTGAGAAAATATAGTTGTTGTTTTTTATGTAATGCCAATGGAAAATGCCCTTGCTAAATCATATAATTATCACAGAGCTGTGAAATAGGCAAATACAAAGAGTATGTATATTCCTCATAGTTAGGTAAATAAAAATACAAAGATAAACTGCTTATTCATTGTTGGTTTGGTAGTCTAGTCTTTATTTAGTGTGAATCAAGCTTCTTGATCAAATAGAGGACCAAAACCAACACTCCAGTCATACCCTAAACTAAGATAACAGTGATTTAGCACTATACTGGTACAATTGTTTAGAGGATAACTGATTTGGTTTTCATAGCACTATCAGAAAAAGGGATAACTCATCAAAATTGCATGTCATTTAGTCAGCACTTTGCAATGACAGCAATTGGTACCTAACTGTCATAGGATGCAGTCATGACAGTATTTTCTGAGGTTCCTTTTAGCATATATTCTCTAGATTTATCACCAGTGCATAGAAAAGGAACAATATGATTTTCTTTCATCTGTGTGACTGTGGGGAACCATAGCAGAGTATTATGGGAGCTGAAGTCAATAACTTTTCATCTATGTACCATTTTTTTACTTCATTGTTGTTGTATTCACAAAACAAAAAAACGTAGGTAGAGAGCATCCACAGGTAATTGCAAGAAAATAACATTAGCAGGAGATAATATATGCTAATTTTACTAAAAAGACTAAATAATTCCTAAATAATTACTTATAAATAATACATTTATAATACTGAGATTCTCAGACAAAACTTTATAAGAATAATACTTCTCTTACAAAGTTTTGTCTGAGAATCTCAGTCCCAGATATCAAGTGAAAAATATCCTGTTGCTTTCAGTCAAGATATGATTTCAGTTTTTGATTATATTTTTATTCATCTCGGGAAATGTCTTATATGTAATTTGTCAGCTATTCTGTTCATATGTTAGCATTGCATTTTTCTATTCTTTGAGATTAATTTTATCAAATAGTACAAAATGTAAAATGCAACCTAAGAAATCTATGAGTAACAGCTAGGGAAAGGATGTAGTTCTTTTCATTAGCATGTTACATACCATATTCAGTGTTTTTATTAACTAAAAGAAATCCTGCCAGGATGTATTATAAAGTGTTAAGTTCAATGACAATGAACATTCAAGCCCGTAAGCACTTCTATTACAAATGATGCATAAAAAATGATTTAAAGATAGTTTATATGACACACACTGGTTCTTTGGTATTATTTGACAGCTGTTTTACAAATGTACTTATTGCTCAGTTTATACATAAAAATAAATTAATTTATTTATACAAAATTATTTCAACCTAAGTTTAACTCTCTGTGGCAAGCACTTACTGTACAGTTCTGAAGAACTATGATGCTCAAAGCGATGAAAAAATCATTGAACTGTCTTTGCTGATGATATAGATTTCATTTCCGAAGGATTCCTATTCCTATTGCAGAAGAATAGCTATCCAAGCAGTCACTGAACTGAACACTTTGAAGCTAAAATAAGTCCATAGGAAATGTGAAAGATAACCACATGTGAAACTCTGTTTCTTGTGTGTTTAAGTCAGAGCTGTAGCTATAAGTCTCTGTGAAACTGTGCTCGTAAGTCTTGCTTCTTTGTTCTTTGGCTCTATGAAGTAGTTGCTGAATAAAGACAGGCCAGTCTCTGTTCTCTGCTTAAATATTTTGCACTAACTAAAAAAAAACAAATAGTCCTTAAAAAAAATGAACACATGGACTGGCAAGAAGAAGTAAAGCAGTTCTTTCATTTTAAAATTATTCCATGCATAGTCAATGGTCCTTTTAATCTTTATGCTTTAGATGAGGAGGATTTAATAGCCTCTGCAAAGTTTTCTCTTAAAATGTCAGTTCTGGGAACCTGTTTTGATATTCTGAAGAAACAAGTGCAATCTTGATGGGATTAGTTTCTACAAGGATTTTGGCACGTCTACACTACAGACCTGATTTTGTAATCTAACTCACAGCCATTGCTAAGTAGAACTCTCAATACTTGTGATATGCTTAAATTGAAGTGTGTTCTTGAATTATACCTGTGGTTTGGTATGACCATTATTCACTGTCCTCTGAGTGGGAATGAAGCAACTGTCAAAGTTGCATGGGAAATGCCAAAGAATTAAAGTTTTATGCATTCTTCATCTTCATTCAGATTTAATCTGAATTTGGAAGAAAGTAATGCCTCATATATAATTCCATGAAAACTACAAAAAATACAGAGAGCACAATAACACTATTTGATAGAGCAAATTCTCTGCTTCAAAACAGTATTTTTCAACATAGCATGTGTACCACTAGTACACAACCACTAGTTATGCATTTTTGCCAACGATGAACAAGAGTCTGCATGCCATGTTCATAGAAATCCGCACCAGTGGAGGTAACCCACTGTTGCTGTCACCACTGCTGAAATACACCACCCACTGCCTCACTGTGCTCACATCCACTGTTTGGTCTCCACAAACATTCAGAAAGCATCCATGAACATCAATGGACACCATTTTTTCTTTGCTTTATATGCACTTCCATCATTTTGTCACACCTCCCGGCTGCTGCCATCTATCACTTTGCATCAAAATGTAATGGAATACTGGTGGGAAGGTTCAACCTCTACTGCCATACCGCAAACATCTGCTTCTGACATCATGGGCCAATATCATAAAATAGGAGGCTTTTGGAGCATCCTTCATATAATTACAAGCTTCCATTTCAATACTGGAAAATAAATCTTGTAACTTGGATTGTTACTGTGCACAATTAAAATATTGTCATTTTTTCACCCTCTTCCAGTTACTTAGACAATTATGATGTAACTAACTTTACTTCGGTGAAGGTGAAAGATGTATTTCAGCTTAAAGCATAAAGAAATTAACACACTTGTAGAGGGAGCTTGATTTTATTTTGAAAATTTGAGAATTAAACCTATAATTTTTTTTTTTAATAACAACATAAAAAAAAAAAAAAAAAAAAAAAAAAAACATTACGCCAAAACAAATAAAAACAAGGATGATCGTACAGTTACGTGAAAAAGTATGGGAATCACAATGAAAATATTACTTCTTCAAAGCACCTGCAGGGAAAAATACCTTTTAATTAGGTTGAAACTACTTACAGTTAAAAAATGATTCTTCTAGGCAAAATGAAGTTTCAAATGCTGTTTGACTATTTAAATCTACATTAGATACAATAAATGTAGAAAATATTTTTTCGAGCCAACTATATTTTTATTATTATTCTATGCTTATTTTGTCAAGCAATCTGTCTTTTTCAACATGGTATGATGCAATTCATAATATAAAGACTTGAATGACAGTGTAATATGTGTGGAATATGTAATATGCAATTCTTTGAGAATATGTGTGGAATCCATAATCTGCTTAAATTCCTAGTTAGAGCTTTAATAGGTAAACTCAAAATTAATTTTTAATTTCTGTGCTTTCTTTTGTTATGTTATAAATTTAAGTATGATATGCCCTTTCTGTAAATACAACTAGATATTTTTTATTTTTTTTTTATTCCCGTGTAAGAGAAAAGAGAGGAATTTTATGAAACATAATCACTTTGTATGGATTGGACAATCACCAAATATTCAGTGTAAAAATCTTTGGGTTTAGACATGATAAATCAGAATTAAGTATAGTTAAAGAGATTTCAGAGTACATTTCACAGATATGGTCTCAAATCTCAAATCTCAGTCAAATACTGTCAAAGTATACTACATCCCAAAGAGGCATCAGAATACATAAGACTCAGCTGGTTTTATGATGTACCATTGAGAGGTTAAAAATTCTGCTAGAAGGAAATCAGCTGTTTGTCATACAGTTTACCACAACAACTGCACTGACTTGCTTGTGCATATGTATTTTTTTTCCTCTAGGCTGTACTTTGGAGGTACAAATTTTCCCAGCTCAAAGGTTCTTCAGATGATGGGAAGAGCAAAATCAAATTCCTTTTCCAAAACCCAGATAATAAACAAATTGAAGCAAAGGTAAAAACAACTTTTTTTCTTTTATAATTCTACCTTAAAACATCTATTAAAGCAGCAGCTGGGAGACGAGTAAATCAAACTAAATTATTTAAAAGTCATTCAATGTTTGAAATGAAAACAAAACCAAAGAAATCTGAATAAACTGAATTTTTGGTAAGTTAAAGTCTTTTTTAGAATGCCATTACATTAAAGAAAAAAAGAAGAAAAAAGACTTGCTGCGTTTAGGAGTATTTGCCAAGTCTGTTAATAAAAGAGAATGTCTGAGAATTTCAATGACCTATCTTTTTCTCTACACTTGGTATCATGAAGAAACAGTGCAAAACATGCTTGAGTCAATTTGGGCAGAAAATACAGCAAAGATTTAACATTTGTTACTATAGCTCAATAAAAAATATTACAGATTAAACATATATCCTCTTACAAGAAGATGGCATTGAAGCTTTGTGTCTTGTCTGTTTTAAAATTCTGTTTTGAGTTGTACTTTTGATTCAGGACGTTTTTTTAAAAAACAGTTACCCTGGAAGATTTATGCCTAATTTTATGAATATATTTTCAGAATTTATTGTCCCAGTATGCATAAGGAAGTGATCTTCCTGGGAACATTGAAACTGCCTGAGAGTCTGAATCAAAGGTCTTTTTCATTAGAATCCCAACATTTTTGTAATCCTGATTATGTTTGTTTGGATATGCTTTAAAGCTGGCTTTTGAAGCCCTTACTGTTTTCCCAGCTATTTATTTGATTTTAAATGATATATTCAATATAACGAAGGTATACAAAAACTCCTATTAAATCAGTAGAAATGAAGTGTGGTAGACTTTCAGTACATTCATATTTTTCTTCATTCTTATATAAGAATGTAATAAGAATATAATAAGAATATAAATATTCTTATTTCCTTTAGCAAATATTACAGTAGTACCGAATTTCTTTTCTTCACTAATAAAAGCCATAACTTAACACCCTAACGTTGTGAGGATGATTTTCTTTTAAGCAAATAATGGGAAACTTTTATTATGCTTCTAAGTATAGCTGGAAATTGAAACTCAGCATTTCTTTTCTTACATTTATCTCGTATTGCTATTGCATGGACACAAGATTTTAGAACTAATTTAATGATGCAATATTTCTTAGAATTTTCTTTGGAATCCAAGAGTCGAATAGTGATGCTTTATTTCATCAATTTAAAAACAACGCATAGTTACAAATCTAGATGTTGAATAAGAAACATGGTTTCATCATTTTATTCTTTTTTTTTTTTTTTTTAATTAAATCTGTCATGCTAATCACTTTTTAAGTCTCGGAGATATTCTAGTATTTTATAGTACTGTTGTTCCCAGTTAAACTGAATTGAGCTTTATTTCTAGGAAACTTCACCTTTCCACCTTTTATCAAAGTAGAAGTTATACCTCTAAATTATGAAGGCATAATATTGTACAAACTTACTAGTATCCTAATTAATATACTGACATGTTCTCTAGCTGCTTTTATTGATTATAAATTTAATCTTTCAGGTTTATCAATTTAGAAATATATATATACATAATTTTCTTGATACTCAAAGCAAGTCAGTTACATTATGATGAAAAATGTCAGATTGTATTGTGTTTGGACAGTGTTATAACATTTATCAACTTCCTATTTGCTTAAGTACACTGTTTAGTCTAAAAACTATAAGATACACTTGTCTGAAGAAAGAATGAAAACATTTTTACATCATATTTTTTAACTTTGGTTGGCTTAAAATTCTGTGAATAGGCCTCTCTGCATCCACTGAACCTTTCAAGTATTTAAAGCACTATTCAGCAAGAAAAGATGCAGAACATTTATTTTTTGGACTTTATTAGCATTACAGAACTGGAGACATATCTATTTGGGAAACTCTCTAGTCATTAAAAAATGTTAATCAGATTTTAAGAAATGCTTGTAATGCTAGGTTTCATGCATGCTGTATGCAGGCTTCATTTGGAATCAGATGATGGGAATTTTCTCAAACAGCTGTTAAAGGTTGTGATGAATATTCATAGCAAAAGCTATCACCACCTGTTAAATGAAATTCTGAGCTGCAGAGCCTGGAGACCTGCTGTTGTAAGGAGGACATACAGGGTAATGTTTTATTGAAATAAGTACAATTGTCTGCCTATTATATTATGTGGGGAATATAGAGGGATGAGGGCTTACAGCTGAGACAAAAAATTCTAAGGAGTCATTACCTCAAGTTGTTAGGGCTTTTCATTTTTGCATTCTCAAACAGTAGTAAGAAACCAGTGTGGCAAGTAACTGTGGTACAGCTCAATAAGGTACTAGAAGTGACAATTGGTTTTTCCTCTTCATTATCAACATTATGCTCTATGCAGAACCTGCTATGGTGTGCGCATGCTTGATTTGAGACTCCTGCTCTTCTTGTTCTGCAGTACTTTTCCTCCATCTCTGAGTTTCAACTGTGCTGCTGACAAGATACGTTTGAAGTTTCTAATGCGCTATAATTCAGTTTCACCTTGCAAATGTAAATGGTTCAGTTACAGATTGATTGATTGATTTCCAGTAATACTGGTTTAATCCTAGAATTCCTTCATGTAAAAATGTGAGTTATCAAAATCCAAATGCTTCCTATCTTCACTTTATGTAATGCTGCACATTTGTGTGCAGCCTGTATGTGTACAGTTATGGCTTGTTGTGTCTGTGTGATAATATTCTTTATATCTCAAATATTTACTCATGACCTAAAGGATTAAGAGTAGTAGAGTGTTGAGGTAGTTAATGTTGATTAACATTTAAAAAGAAAAATAATTATGCGGCAGTGTTTTAAATTTTAGTCTTAGTGACTTTATAGTTTCCTTTTTGTTCTGATTGAATATAAAGAACAATCGTTCTTTATATTTATTTATATTCAATAATATATATTATATATATTTATATATTTTAATATATATATTTATAAATCTGAGATTTTTTTTGAAAATGCAGAACTACATCCTTTCATCCGTCAACTTTTGTTTCTGAAAAACACACTTGCCACCAGAGTTTACATTCCTAAGAGAAAGTCCTTCACTGACACAGAAAACCTAATGTTTTTATAACACTGTCAAAATATTTTAGTGTTTTTCATGCCTGACTTAACAAAATTAAAAATGGCATGTTTTGAGATGAACAACATATGCTTTATATTTGGTTACTGTTTAATTAGAAATACTTCTTTCAGGCTCAAAAATGGTTTAGCATTTAAACTTAGAGACTTTGTACTGGTGTTTTTGTTTGGCTTCTCTGAAACAACAACATGCTACTGTAAAGATGCATAGTATAGAATAAGGGAAGTGTTTCCTTGTAGACATGAACAATTGCAGTCTGAAAAACCTGAACAGTAATTACCGTAGGTCACACTGGTGGTCAGTGGCAGTGCCTGCCAATCAAACACCTGACTTTGAAGGTCTCAAAGTTAAGGTCTAAGTAGTTTCTGAGATGTAAACCATTTAGAGGCAACATTAATCACCAATACCTCTTAGACGTTCCAATCTGTAGGTTATTTCCCAGCTGTCACTCAGCAGGAGATATTGCACAGGTTTGCACAGTCAGACAGAATTTTTCTGACTGAGAGCTACAAAATAGAGCAGTTGGCATGGAAAAGAACATGGAGCCTATGTGTCCCTCTGCTTCATCCCTGTTGTGCTGCTCTGGTTGCATTGAAAAATATAAACGGCAGATCTTTCTTTTCAATTATATAACATAGAGGGGATACATTATGCATCCTGCTATCTAATTACCTATTTCTTTAGCTATAACTTCATGATCTGTTAATGGCTTTTCAGCGTTAGAGCAGCCTCCAGAGGCTAATGGAATTTCAGCACTGTAATAAACTCAGAGCACTATAATCTTCTGTTGTACCTGACTGAGTAGTGGATCACTGCAATGGAAACAGTTTTATGTTTTTCTGAGAAAAATGTCTTAAACCTATGAAAGATTCTATTTCTATACATATAGACTCCCAAACATTGCCATATCCAGTATCTATATATCTAAAGCAGAATTGTTGCTAGGTTTTTTTTTGTTTGTTTCTTTTTGTCATCTTTTTTTACTACATACCATTTCTATTTGAATTTTGTAAGTAAATATAATAACCAGGAATTTCTGTAAACTGAAAGGTTGTGTGCCCCATTGCAATGGCAAGGATTTGATGCCTGATAAAGTAGCAACAGGCCTACACAGTTGGACTGAAAAAATGAATGTCCTTCTTACATTTCAGCTCTGTAACATAAAGCATGATGTATATCTCAAAAACTATTCTCTCTGTCCTTTTACCTTTCTGAACTTGCAAGGATTTTTCACAGCTTAACAGCTTTCTCAGCAAAACTCGGCCAAGGTCACACAGCTGTGCTGTTAGCTTTTGTTCACAGACTAGCTAATGCCCTAAACTAAGTGTCATGGAACAGTGGTGAGCAGCACATGAAGATGAAGATCTGGTCAATTGGGAAAAACTGTGGTGTCAGCAAAAGAAGGTGCATAACTTTAAAGATCTGGCATTAATATGTAGTAATGAATAATGCACTAATAACAATTAATGGTAATTAATTTGAACTTGAAACTATTCCATATAGAAATAGAATATAAAATAAGACAGCCTGCATTAGAGATGTAACGTGAACAAAATGCTTGCCTTCTGGTGTGTTGTAAGATATCTTGATGAATGCTTGCACTATTTTGCAGGCTGATATTTCTGCTCATTTCAAGTATATTCTCCAAAGTATAATTTTAATTTAATCCTTGTTCTTAGCCTTGAGGGCTTTTCTGTGAGCATCACAGTGCTCTTCAAGTTTGGAATTTCAGCTTTAAATGGGTTTCAAGTATCTATCCTTAGTATTTTTACGGAGTGATTGCTTAATTGCAGTGACTGCCTTCTGAGTTCAGATTTTTTAACTGTGTGGGTTTGCATGACTCAGTTTTTAGTTTTCCCATGTCTTGCTCAAAGACTGTATTTTTTTGTATCTGTTTAAAATCACATTCTACCTTAGTATATAGACATTTGATGAAGCAACAAATATATTCACATATCAGCAGTTTATATGTAACAATACAATGTTTTTTTTCTGTATCACAAACTAACAGTTTCTTGAGTTTGCATACATAGAGTTTAGGTAGCTGTGACATTAATATAATGAAAAGTAGCTGATTTTTTTTTTTTTTTCTTTTATCTGACAACATTATCTGTATTCATTTTTTCCATATTTGTCTTCTTCATCTTTTGTTGGCTTACACTGTCCTATGCAGAAACAGTGAATCTTCAGATTAATAACCTGAGAATATCTGGTATAATGGCAGCAATGTTGAGTGAAAGTAGTTTAGTCAAGAAGGTGGGAGGATGATTTGAAGATCAAGATCAAGAGGATACACTAATATTTCAATCTGGAAAATGGAATAAGAGTAAATTGTGTTTTTGTGCATGGATAAGTAGTTGTGGCTCAAATTTGGATTTCTTTGCTTTTTTGTGATTCAGAGCATCTGCTTTTCCCTACAGCTTGCAGACGTAATAGCTTGACAGAATATTTCTTCAGGTTTCTTAGGATTTATTTGTTTGTTTACTTGAAGCTGTGTGTGCAATGTGCACTACTTTGCTTGATAAAAGTGTGTTCAGACAAGCGTATGACTGACAGCAGAGTATTCTAAATACGAAAACAACTAGGGACAGTTAGATGTGCAGAAAAGTCTGTGGGTTCTCCTCCGTTTTATGGCAGTCCTGCAGACCTATGGCGATTTGAATGTGCAAGTTCTCAACAGAAGTTGAGGGAATGTTTTGTCTGTGAGCAGTTCTCTGTGAGCCTTTATCTGTTCATTAAATTTGGTTGTGACAAGGCTAATCTGCCTGGAAACTGTTGTTCCTGATGAATCCCTTTGCATCAATCTTACTCCCTTAAATTCAGCTGCAGCTATTAATCAGACATTTATAAGTTCATCACATACCAGTATCAGCCCACTGTGTTTCACACTGCTTCAAATTCCACTTTTAATGTGAACTCTGCTTGTAACAGAGTCAGCATGTGACTTTTTTAGCCTCTGATCCACATCCACTGCTGGGGAAATAGATGTGATCACAAGAGTGTGACTTCTGCCCTGCACAGTAACAACACAAGCTATCAGTGTCTTTAAGTAGCTTCGTAGAATGTGGTTATATACATGTATTATTTATGTCTTCTAAATAAGCTGTATTACTTGGATCCTCTACCTACGTCACCTTAAATGCATGTAATTTTTTAAATTGTGTGATCAGAGAGATATCATTAATTCACTGCATGATGTACCCATTGACACTGAAAGAATTATGTTTCATGGCAAGTAGTATCTAGCATTCGTTGACTTGTTAGTGCTCATCTTTACTATCAAATTAATTTCTGTAATGTTTCATTGCTAACGGCAGTAGCAAACCATTGGGACCTTCAGCAGTTGTGCCATTTCCTCACACGTTTTCATTGAAGGTCCATTGAGCAGTGGATCTTCCCAATATGTTACTGTTGCAGAAACACCTGTGTCAACTAGTAATAATAACTGTATTAATGCACTGTGAAAATTCAGTGTCCAGCAGCCATAATTATGATGTACATAAGAACTTTCAGCAATAGGATTACCTAATTGACTCGAACAGTTCTCAAACTGCAATATTTGTTTTAATAGACTTGCTCTGTGGACACATAGGTGGAAAGACAGTCTTTCCAAATATAACACAGAGCTGACATCACAAATATTTGTAAGATCCACTAAATATTTATATTTTCATCTTAAGCCTTAGTATTATTTTATAGTACCAAAGGATAGATGTTATTAATAGATTGCAAATGAAAAGTAACAATTTGAGCGACTGATGCTTCTTATTCAGACATAGTTTCCTTAATTCCTTGTTTCCTCATCTTTGACTTTCTCCTATTTTTCCCATCTATGACAAATTTTCTTATTTTGAAGTTTGGATAGAAGGGGAAGAAATCTCTGGCACTGTAACAAACTACACTTTTCCTAATGTTTAAAAATGAAAGTATCTCTAAACAGAATTTTTTTAATGAATACAGATGGCAGGTGTGCTAAACTTGGCTCAAACTTCATCATCTTTATTGTGAATTGCTACTTAAGGGAGTTTAAAGAAGCTTGTAAGCAATTAAAAAATCATTCTGAACATTTCCAAAGGACATCTGCTCAGGTTGTAAGAGAGTTGAGCAGAACTCCACCCGTTTCATACATTGCTGGGATACTCTGTGTATGTAGTCTTCTGCTTTCAGGCCAGGCAGTTGTTCCATCTCACACATAAGGGATTTCTGAATGTCTCCACAAAGCTTTTAAAGCAATATCTTCCAGAAAAACTCAAGAGGAAGGCTCATGTAATTTTTAGAATTTTACCTTTTTTTGTTCTTGTTAAATTCACGATACTATCAATATTTCTTTATACAAAAGCAAAGCTGTCAGCACTAAATAACCTGGAAATATCAGTACTAGACAAAAACACAAATAGGATATACCACAGTTCTCTGTTCCTGGTTTCAGTGCAGAAATCTACATAGGCAGTGAATCAAAGCAAAAAGATCATAAATCTGTATCACCATCCCTACGTGCATAACATCAGTGTCTGCTTTCAAACACAGCACGTTCTTATTGATTAAATGCTAACATCAAAAAACCATACTGAAGAATTCCTAGAAAAAATCCATCATCATTATGATCCCATTGATAAGATAAAATCAATGAGACACAAAGGAAAACATTTATATGTGTATATATATATATATATATCTATATATATATATATAAATTTTGTGTTTTGTTTTCATCTTTTTTTTAAGAAAATCTCACCTCTGGGGCTTTAAAAAAAAAAAAAAAAAAAAAAAAAAGGCAAATTAAAGTAGAACAAAAAGAGCTTTCTCTAATATTTTTAATAAGATCAAAATTCCAAGTATGTTCCTTACTTTTGGTACAGTAAAAATAATTGCCTCAGTGAAAACAGAGCCAGAATATCTCTGTAGTAGCACTTTATGAAGTTTCTTGTTTTGTTTTCTTTTTTAACTAAAGATTAGCGTAGGTGAGATAGTAGTTACCACTGTATGGTGACATGACAGATAAACATGACATATGTAGAACTCAGCGTTACTGATCTTTGTGGGTACGTGCAGCAATAACCCAGAGGTATGTAGACACAATGCACTCATTCCATTGATTGATTTATTAAAAGAAATCAGTCTGCAAAATGCACCAGATTTGCATATTTGTATATGGCTGTCACATTCCTTCCTCTTTAGCAGGCAGAACCTCATACTTCTGTGCAGCCACTTTACTCAAAAATTTGTTCATTTTAGCTTTCAAAAAAATATTTATGGAATAAATAACGCTGTCCCTTAAGTGCCTGTAATCTAGAACTATCAGATACATCAGCAGGATTACATCAGACTATTTCCATTTAAAACTCAGTTCATTCCTAGGTGCATGTTTGTGATGTCTTCTTTTGCTTCATGATTAATCTTTTTTTTTTCACTTCCAGGAGCTGGAGTTTTCCAACCTGTTTGCAGTCCTTCATTGTATCCATTCGTTCTTTGCAGCCAAAGTGGCTTGTTTGGACCCTTTGTACGTAGGCAGTCAAGCAACAGCTTCTGCTGCTCCCACAACTTCTGGTACTGGCAAATTAAAGTATACAACTTGATATCTCACATTACAGCACTGCCATTTATCAAAAAGACTTAATGTATAGATATTCATAAGATGTGAAACTGGTGAACCTGTACATGGAAACCAATTCTGGAGACAAGACATCTTGCAGCGTCAGCAGATAGATGGTCACGTGGGATCATAAACTCATTTCTGTTCTGCAAGACACCAGTAAATAATCCTCGCAGAATCCCCAGAATAGGATGGATATGCTTTTAGTATGATCTATTTGTACTTATTTAGTGCTTTAACCAACACTGGAAGCAAAGGAATAAATGATGCAATGAGGCATTTCGGTATTTAATAAAATTTTCAAATTGCTGTAATAACACACAAAAAGAATTGTCATTTTCCTGTTTTCAAATGTTTTTATGACAATATGCTAAACTCTGAGTATGAACCTAGTACCCAATGATTATATTATAAATGACATAAGAGAAAGCGACAAGCATTTAGTACATAATGATGAGGAGATGAGCATGAAAAGACATTTGTGTAAGTATTTCTTCAAATAAGAAAGCACTTTAAGCACCATTGTAATCCATAATTATTTCCATACATGGAGTCATGGTACTTTTTCTATTTTGTTCTTTTAGCATTAGCAACAAATATATAGCCATATTGACTGACACAGTTCAAAACAAAAACCCTACAACCCCACTTCCATGAGTAAGTTCCTCTTCTTCAATTAAAAATATTATAATATTACTTTAAACGTAATGACAAGTGAAAGTTTGTAAAATATCATTTCTGCTATTTACTTCCTCAATTTTTTGGAGAACTAAGAATCTGATTTTTGCATTGATACAGATGTTGTATTTGCTTCAGAAACAATCCACATAATGCATTGTTTCCGTTATTAACCTTGATTTCACATCATAAGGTCTCAAGAAAATAGACATTCAATATTATTTTTGAAAAATGAGTCAAACCATTGAATTGGTAGTGATTTCTTTTTTTATATTATTAGTAAAAGGCAGGAATAAAATAAATAGCCTTTAATGATGGAAGCAATGACAGAACGCATACTGTCTTTGTATATTAAAAAAATACTACATCACCCATGACCATATAACAGAAATAGTAGTTCCAGGGTCTCATTTAATGATCAAATCTGAAAGAATTTTACATTTATAACTAATAACTTATAAAAATAATGTTGTGCTACTACGTATCAATGAAAATGGCAAAACGGTGGAGTTATAGCTGAAAGATCAAAAAAAGGTGAGGTTTGTTTGTTTGTTTTTTGCAGACAAAAAAAAACCTAAAAGACTGCAAAAAATGCATTTGTTGCACATTCAGAATGTGTAGAATATTTTAAATGATGCTTTCTGGGATTTCTACTTATACTATTGAAATCTGTATTTCCTTTTTTTCCCTCTTCTTATAAAAGTACATGGAAGGTAAGAGTTAAGGATACGATCTCTCTTGTGTAACTGGAAGACAAACTATTTCCCATCCATTTTTACATATTAAAAGAAGAAAAAAATCAGCATTTAATCCAGAGGAAAGCTTTTTCCAAAGGGGAGCAATTCAAATGTTAAGTGGGGACACAAGATGAATGAACTGTTGGGGTAAATCATGCATCTGTCTTTTTGCTTTGCAGTAGATGTATTTGGATTTATGTGTGTTAGAAAGCGTCCTTGCAAAATGGAGACTGAAGGTAAAGTTGATTCTAGTTCAAAACAATCTGAAAATGCATTTTCTGGGAATTCTTTGTCATTGTCACAGGACTACCAGTATGTTCTTACTCCTTAGCAGAACTCCAAGTGTTACAGGATTTCATAATTGTGTTCCACATTTATTTTCCATGTTACGTACAATGGAATCATGTCATAATCCAATGATTAAATGTTTTAAGTGTCATCAAAATCCAACATTTTCATAGTCATTATCCTGTTTACATGAATCTTTCCTAAATAAGGGGGTTAGCTCTTAGTCTCTGCATGACTTGTGAAACTGCTGTGGCTATTGAGTTTATTCCTGAGAGATTACAGGCCCCAAATGTTTTGAATCCAAAACTGCAACTTTCTGAGAAGTTTGCTGATGACAACTCAGATGTTCTTCTTGTCAAAAAGGCATGTTCTGGAAAGACAGTTTTGACAGACCACTGTCAATGATGAAGCTTTGTATTCTGTGCTCCCAAATCATCTCATTCTGGTGAGCATTGCATTCAGACATCCAGTACAGGCATGTGTCTCTCTAAGTGCTCTGGTGGTAGTAGAGGAATCTAAAATTAATCAGTTGAATGTTTTCCCTTCAATTAGCTCAGATGATGTGCACAATGGCACCATTGAAACCAAGAGTTATTTAAGGGAGATTGTTTAATATGGTTAAGTGAGCATAGCATTTATCTGAAAGAGCAGAAACTATACTGTTGCAAATTGATGTAGATTAAGGCTTTCCATAATTTGACAGAAAAATAAATAAAGAAAGAAAAGTTGCTACTTGTGCAGAAATGTCTTTATGCCATGCACTTTTGGGGCCTGGACTCTACCAGGGTGTTCTACAGAACTGTCATGTATTTTGTTTGTAGAAACGCTGTATGCATCAATGAGATTTTTTTTTTTTTTAGTTGGGCATTGAATACACAATATTTAAGAGGCAAATAGACACATAAAAAAAGAACCTGCAATTTTTATATTTGTTTGTGTTTTGAAACCCCATATTTCAAAGATCTGAACTTGTGAAGCATAATATTTTTAGTTTCAAGAAAATAAAGGTGACCTTGGGAGAATATAAAATGCCGTGGCCTTGACTACAGGTCAGTACTGGCTTGTAAGTGTGTGATTCTGAGGGTCTTTGCACTGACCTCCGATTATTCAGAGGTGGCTGCATCAGGCTTGCCCTCTCATAGCAAGTAGAAGAGAAATTCAGCCTTGAGCCAATGGGAAAATTTTAAAGTCTGTGTCATAAAACAGGAAAATGTAATTTTAGTGACTATGTTTTTTATTTAAATACAAGAAGACTCCAAATTAAAGCATAGTTAACTTCATATGCATATGTCAAAACCAACCTCTATGTTGCAAGCTATCATTTAACATATCAAATATAATGAATACAAGTATTTTGTAAGTCAGCATGGCCCACTGATTACAAAGAAAAAAAGAAAATTATAATAAACTGTCAGCTCTTACTGAAAATCTGTATGCAAATAAAAACAAATATTGGAAAAAAAAAAAATAAAAACACAACAAACCTTATTTCCCACAAAGTAAAATATAGTTTTTCTTTATGACATCATAAATAAGTTAAATTAAAAAATGTATGTCTTTATACTTAGTACTGTGCCTATTGAAATGATGTTATATAACATACCGTAAATATACATTCCTCAGTACACAAAATGTATTTGATTTAATTTGCTTTGCTTTATGATGAGAATTTTAGATAAGCTGACCTCCACAGAATTAACCATATGTTAGGTTATAGTGTTATCATAATTTTGTTATGAACGTGTTGCAGATCTGTAGACAAGTTATTCTAGATTTCATAGGTGAATGAATATATTTCATTTCCTATATGTTTAAAAACACAGTTCCAGAAGGCACTTTTGAAATAAAGATCAGGATATTATAAAATATTGGTCATTTTATTTTCTTAATCAAGTGCAGCAAGAAGTTTGTAAATTGTAAGCCAGTTATTTTTTAAAAGAAATAATTTGACATTTTGGCTGTTTAAACTAGAATTCATAAAAATGTAATATAATAATATACAGTATCAATATACTTTGAGATGAGATTCCTGAAACATATTGTTTTCCAGCTTAGTTCTTGATCCCACAGAAACTTTGCTTTATATTTATTTTATGTGCTCTGAGTTTATCAGAATATCTCACAGTGCACAGACCATGAGTAAGTCATTGTGATTACTACTGCTTTTTCCTTTAAATATGATTTCTTTTATGCATTGCCTTAAGATGTTTCTTACATCAAGAGAAATATTAAAAAGGCTAAAAATCTCATGAATGTATAGTTGCTGCCCTTAGTTCAGCAGCTTTGCTACATATTGTTGTCTAAGTACCCCCAGTATTCTCAATGCCAAAAAGAAAGTACAATTTTCATCCTGATACAGCAATGCCAAGTCAAATGTAAATGTATTAATATTAAACACTCACCTATGTACTGCACTTTTAGTTCCATTATAGAATCTAGTCCCTGAGAAAGTGTTTTGTCTCAAAAAAAAAAAAAAAAAAAAAAAAAAAAAAGCTGATTTTAATATGTTCATCTTTGGGGCAACTTAAAATGTTCAAATTTGGGCACTCACCCAAGTTACTTAAATTTAAATACCTATCATAGACACCTAGGATAGGACTTGAAGTCCTCAAAATGGCAGGGCAGGGCCGTTTTGAGGTAGGACCATGACTTAGCAGCTCTTAAGGTGTGTGTCTCCCTGGTGTGATGAAAGAGGTGCAGCCACTTTTGTGTGTTCACTTGTTTTAGGAATGTGCTTTTGAAGCCAGGTTCCTGCCCTTTGCCTGTTACTATGTTGTTCTTCATTTGCCAGAACAGTCTTTAAGCACATGAACTGGAATTTTAGGCTAAAACTAAATCAGCGTAACACCAATAGTTCCAACTCCTAAGGGGCTTTCAGCTCGTACAACCTAACTAAAGCAAGACCAAAGCCAGAATTCCTTTAAATTGCTACAGCTGCTGGATTAAGGTGAGTGTCCTTTCTGCACAGTGGGTGATGACCGTGTACGGTGGAAGGACCTCCTTCATTTACAGAAGGTGACTGGCAGATGTCCAGGCTAGGTTCATCTGCATTGCCCTCTTCCGTCACTCCAAAGGGAAATAATTAAGGGTACACTATGCTGCTCAGCCCTCTCCCTGCTGCGTCTCTCTTCCTGTCTATCAAAAACGCATACTTTAAAATTCACTCAGAGTGCTCCAAGAACACTGCCCCATTCTCTTTGCTCTATGCAGATAGTGGAGCTGCACTCACTCAGCTATGTAAGGGAGCCTCTAAATCTGTAACATAGTCAGGGGACAATATTCAGGCGTTATGGCAAAGGCATCTGTGTACCAGAAGAGTGTTGTGGTCTGTGATCAACATTCAGAGTAAATTGAGTAAAGTCATCTTCAAGCTTAAGTGCTTTCTTGGCTAGGAGGGCTCTTAAGTGCAATTTTAGTATTCCTGGAATAAGGTCCATAAGGTCAATAAATTTTTATTTATTTGGCTCCATTTTCCCATTTTCAGGAAGTTTAGTGAGAATAGCAATTCATATTCTGTCAGAATCAGATGGAAAATCAGGGATACTGAAATAAAAAAGAAATTTCTATTCAGATTCTGTAAATTGTTACAGTACATTACATACTCTGTTAAAATATATTGAACAATGTAAAACTAAATGCATTCATTTAGCTAACCTAGTCAGTTTTCATTGCAACGGTATGCACACCTCCCACTTTCAACAACTCACTACAAGAATCTCAATCATATGTTACAGAAATGGCTTTATTATTGAGTATATACTAATAT